CCCACCCCACCCCCCCTCCCCACTCCCCCCCCACTCCCCCCCCACTTCCCCCCACCACCTCACTCCCTTCCCCTCTCTCCCCTCCTTCTCTCTCCCCCTCCCCCTCTCTCCCCCCTCCCCCTCTCTCCCCCCTTCCTTCTCTCTCTCCCCCCTCCCCTCTCTCTCCCCTCCTCTCTCTCTCCCCCCCTCCCTCCCTCTCCCTCCCTCCCTCTCCCCCCCCTCCCTCTCTCCCTCCCCCCCTCTCTCTCCCCCCCTCTCTCCCCCCCTCCCTCTCTCCCTCCCCCCCCCTCTCTCTCTCCCTCCCCCCCCCCCTCTCTCTCCCTCCCTCTCTCCCCTCCCCCTCCCTCTCTCTCCTCACTTTACCCTTCCCTCGGCCTTTTGGCTCAGATCAAGTGGACCTTCATGTTGGTGGGCCTTGGCTAAGATGTTGATCTAGTGTGTGTGTAAAAAAAATCATTGCCTGGCGTTGCTTTTTTTGCAGGGAAGATGATTCAACGCATCAACGTTTCCTAAAGAATCAGAAAAAAATATTAAAATTAATAATAATCTATCATAAAGTCTAGCTGCAGATGGAGCTATTCATAGAAATATATCATGCAATTTTCAATTATGGCTGGCTGTCAAGTAATGGATACTGGGAGCACTAATGGTGTAATATCTAATAACCAATTTCTGACTGCTGAGAACAAATCCCTATCACTTCAGTTATAAATAAATTTGGAATAGAGAAGCCTGATTTCTTCTTCCTGCTGCCAATTGATCACTGAGGAGAGTTCTCCTCATGAACAGCTGAGTATAATGCATAGAGCTCCTCTCTCGTGCTGGATTTTTAATGCTACAAAAGAGCCTGTCAATGCACAGTATTGATTTTTCACAGCTTGAGATAAGATACAAATACAATAGGAACAATACTGGCATAAGGGACAAAGGAGATTACTGTGATACTGAGCAATGGCAAATGTTTGACCAACAATAGGAAATGTATGTATAGATGTAAAACATGATCAATCAGTTTTAGGGGTGTTGTAGACGATCTGCAATGGGCACCTTTGAAGATCACACTGTCTAGTTTTGGAGGTTGGGAAAAGATTATACAAATTCAGAAATAGGCTTTCTTCAAATTGTACCATGCTATCTTTCATAGATTTGTAAGATCTTAAATTCAATTGGAAACATTCAACCAAACAGACATCCTGGCCCAGTTGGTAATACTTTCGTCTCTGAGTCAGAACGTTTTGGT